CAAACCTGTGTCACTAGGTCATTGAACCGATCCTGGTCATCGACTGTCGAAACGGTTTATGGCAGGGTATCGCCCAGTTCGTAGGTGATCGCAGGTTTACCTCACCAGCCGAAGTTAAGGGTTGTAACGTCAAGTGCGTCCTGGTTATTCCACCAAATACGTACTCACTTCACTGCACGACCACTAACACTGATCACCCGACACAATCACTTAATGTGTTTTTAATTCAACGTGTTGTCCCTACGTTAGGAAAATTCGTGGCCCCGGAAAGGGCCGATTATTTTCAATCTATCAGGTGTTTTACGTAGCCAAACATTTGCACAGCAGCAGCCACATATCCGTTATTCTGTACGTACCACCAGAACATCGCGTAATACTCCCGTGAACTGAACATCTCCGTCGCCCGATTGCTAACCGACTGACAGAATTTTTCCGAAAGGGCTTCCTCTACCCCCAAGTATTTTCCTACCGTTACATTGTGAGTTCACTCCCACCACTACAAGATTTAGGTAAACAGAAACCAACGGTTCTAGGATAACATATGCTTTGCAGAAGTGCAAGGAAAAAACCGTCGCGGAGTTTCACCAAGACGCGTAGCCCGTTAATTTATGGCCAGGGTACCCACTGCTTCGAGATAGGAAACAAACATCACGTGCATCGGCTTGGAAATGTCCGAAATAAAGAGGACCACCAACGTACCCGTTGTTTCGAGTTGGAAAGTACAATTTACATTGTTTTCCTCGAGGAGCAGGGAAAAAATTTCACCGACACTTGTGAGTTGACGCTGCTTGGCCCCGTTCGACCACTTTTCGGTTATTTATGGCTCAATATTTATAAGCAAGACATATTGTCTATGTAACAAGTTACAGTAGTGGTCCAATCTAGGCGATGCGATAATCCAAGTTCTGCTACAATAAGATATACGTAAAGATGGAATCTTCGGACTGTTGAGAAAATAGAATCCATAAACTTTATTCCGACTGTTTTAAGGAGGGTCAAGAAACTCGGTTATCGATCGAGTTAAAAGGTCCACAACGCGATTTCGTATCTTCTCCACCACCTGCCCAGAGGTGACAAACAGCGGTTACTTCCCGCATATCTAAATCTTCCAAAGGTGACGGTGGCGAGCCCCGAGAAATATTTTTATTCGATCTGCTATCCGACCCGATAAAGCCAGCCGTAATTCCTCGGGCTCGGGGAACGCCGGATGTGGTGGAAAATACTCAGATAACCGGGCACGGCTCTATAGTAATTTCACACTGAACCCGTTTATAGATCATTTAAGGAACTCTCGGGTGGTAAGAGGATAAGGGGCTGCGCGGGGATAAGAAGAGGAGTAAAGGATATTTCGGGGGTGTGTTTTTTATTGAAATGAGCGCATCTGGCGTCCGACGAGGGGTCGAACAGCTGAGCACGCACTTTTGTCCTCCACCCCCCTGGCCCCTCGAGACCCCCACGGGGGTGGTTGGCGAACGGTTACCTCGTCCCCGTGCGCGTGAATCGAGCCACCCCTACGGGCCAGACCATGGAAATAAATCCCCTTATGAAAATTCGAACACGGACGCCACTTTTTCTTCCGAGAATTTATTGGCCTACCAGCAGATCGCTGACCGCGCTCTGACCTCGCCTGGCGCTGCTGAGAGGACCATCTCTGAGTTATCCTCGCCCATCGGAGAGGCTCTAAAGACGCGTAACCCTGGACCAACCATTCAATATGTTCTTACAGACACACGGCCCCAGCGATATAATCGCGGTTTATCGAAGATAAAAGCAAACGTCCGGTCATGCGGGTGCCCATTGAACAACGATAATAATATTTCAAGACACAGGAGGTTTCGGTTGGATAGGAGAGAATGTTGTGAAAATATCATGAGAAGGCCTGATTATTTCTGATAAAGGGAAAAGTAATGATAAATAACAGAGGAGCTCCCTACCAAGAAGTCATCTTACTCTCTGATTAATAAGTGATCTTTTAAATTCAGTCTTTATTTACTTCTTGTTTTCATTCGTACTCTTTCCGAGAAGAATTAGTTTCTACACTCTGTTGTTGAAATGTACCAGGAAGAAAATCATCCGACACTTTCAACATCATCAAACTCTTCCACCGTGGATGAAATTGACGAAGCAATGTAATTTCATCCCGGGCGCTGCCGAAACGTCATTTTATACGGTGTCGGTTCTATTATAAATTCATGCGATATTTCGCATACATCATATTCTGGGCGTTCTCGCGTACGCGCGCGCGCGCGCGTGCACACACCGTCCCGGACGTCGACTTTATTCCCTTGGAAAAGTGACTGAAGGACGTGGCTCAGCGTGAACGGGGTCTGTCATAACTTTTTAATACCCCTTGAAGGAGGACGACTTTGTAGTAACCTGGGCAGGATATTAGAGCCCTAAAAGACGAATAATATCGGGCACGGTGAATACCTTCTCCCGGGTCCTCCCGTGTCCAGACTTGTGTGCACGCTCGGCAGACTCCTACAGGAAGTAGTTAAATGTTACCGGTGTCAGGGCGCACAGCCTTTGTGCAGAGAGAGCGAGAAAGGAAGAGGAAGAGAGAGTGCCTCCCAGCTCCGTGGAGTTAGCTGACTGGCAGAGTACTATAAATTACATAAATGAAGTAAGCCCCTTCCTCACTCAAACGGACGTCTTGCCAAGTTTATAACTTAATCACTCGTGCTTTTCATGGCGGTGGAGAAGCTTAAGGGCCGAAGGACGTGGGACAGATAGTGTAAGTTGCCATGGGTGAAGGAGATCGCTGCGGAAGGGACGAAAGCAAGGTGGAAATAAAAGTAATTCCGCGGGCAGGAGAATTGGAAAAAGAGCGACAAACCGGAGAGCTCGGATAATTGAATACGAACGCCTTCTGCTTTACGACTTTATGATCGTCGTTGACTCGTTTTCTGATATTCAGTTGAACGATGAGCGATTAAATGTAGACTGTGAAGTTTATGGATGTGCGGGGAACACGGGATCCTAAAGTTTTTATTGGACACACTTCGAGGGTCTCTTCGTCGAGCTGGAAAGGGGAAAATTTGTATATAGAACGGACAGGTATCTCGTTTACATAATATATAAGAACCTGAAAACTCCTAAGGATTATATTGATCCATCCTGTGTTTTCAGAAATGCTTTCATGAAACGTACTTTTTATTTTAAGGGGATGGGTTTAGAATCGCATCAACATCTTAGGTTATCTTTAGGTTATCAGGTAAGGTTTATCTTTTGAATGAGGTTCCTCAGGTGTATACCACTGAAGAATGGGATATACACCTGTAAACACTGATGAATGAAATTACTGCGAATGAATGTTTCTTGTTACTAAAAGCTTCCTCTAAATATTGGTATCTTGTATTTGCTTCTTTTGTGATTTACTACTGGACAGTCTCAAAGAATTACTTGTGATATCCACGTTATATTGCTTGCACTTATTTAGGGTATCCCTCGACATCAGGTGACCATGGGTTAATTCAGCAATGTTGTACTTTCATGAAAAGTAGACACCATTATTGAAAGTAAATAAAGAGGAATAATTCTATATACCAAACCACATCTCTTCCAACGCTATCTAATGTATCATTTTGACTCCGTCAGAGTTGTTCCACTACTCCATCATCATAAATAAACAGGAAACGTATATTGCGATCGATCGATGCTAATTACTCGAAACGAACTGTCCGAAAACGTCCGTGTCGTCTCGGGGTCGAGTCTGGTGTAATTTAATTCACCGGGCTCGTTCCATTTCCGGTGTAAAATTTAAGAGGCTAGGGAGGAGGAGACGAGGGGAGGAACGCTCGAAGAATCGCGAGAGCTGTCGACTCGCATTCGACTCCGGTATCCATCGGCTGTGTTTAATTACGAGTCACCCGGCGTAGTTTCTCTCGCGCAGACTGCTTCAGCACGGAAGCACTAACTCCTGGTTATCTTAAGCGACATCGCGCACTGGATTCGTATAACTTGCGCCCGCCGGATAACTTGAGCCTGAATTACTACGCGGCGCAGAGAGACAGACGAGGAGGCGGCAGAGCGTTGGAGGAGCGGGAGGAGGCGCGAGGGGAGGCGAGATTAAAATCACCTGGAGACCAATGCAAAGTTTTTAATAACCCTTGATGCTTGATTAAGTTATGACTCTTCGCCGGCTCGTCCGTCCGTCCCTCTTTCTCCCCCCCCCCTCTCTCTCTCTTTCTCTTCTCCGTTGTTCGTCCTCGAGCGAAATAAATTTCGAGCAGAAATGCTTAGACCGCGTTCGAGTGGAACGGGCCCCGGCACACGAAGGGAACGCCGAGGGAAAGGAACGGGGGCGAAACTCGTCTGACTCTGTTGAATTAATGGAAGATCCGGCAGGATAGTTATCTTCGCTGGAGAACGCATGGAAGTTACGTTAACTTGGACGTTTTTAAGCCCGGAGAATTACGGTGAATAAAAGGGCACTCGTCCGGAGCTACGCGTTGTATTTAAAGGGCCCCGGTTAAGATTCATTTTGTTCCGGTAACTTCGGGCATCCTTTCAGTTCCTTCTTATCGAGGAACGCATTCCTTTGTGTATTAACCTTCAAAAAGTGAATCGTACAGGGTGAATCGCTCGTTGCTAGGGTCGAGAGGCAAGCCGCCTCCTTTGTCGCTTAACTACCGTGACCATAAATGTGTCAACGGTTGCTTACCCCTGCTGAGCCTTACCTATGTGGGTGAGACAGAGCGAAAACCGACACTCTCTCTGTCTCCGTCACACACATAGCATGCTCAGCAGGAGTAGCTAGTGACTCTTAAATGACCAAGCTCGACCCCATCACTAGTTGTTACTTCAGCATTACTCGTTGTTGCTTTCGTATCACTACTTGTTGCTTTCATACGGAATTGATACTATTGATACGGAATTTATAGATAAACTTGATGACACATTTCAGGAATTTAATAACTACCACGAGTATGTGCGTATTAAATATACCTAGACCTCTTGATTAACCGATCACTACAAGACATCTATTATTTATGTTTCAGGCTTTGGCTTTGTCACGTTTCAAAGCGAGGACGTGGTCGACAAAGTCTGCGAGATTCATTTCCATGAAATCAACAACAAAATGGTGAGTCGCCAGTCAGGCAACAAAGCCTATTTGTTGAATGAAGAGAGCTCTCTCTCCCTCTCTCCCTATTACGCGCCCGCAGAGGTGGTATCAAACGGTGTTTGCCTTCCGCTTTCCGTCTGCGGATACGGCGTCGAGTGGAATTAATTTTCCGTATAATTGAGAAGGGCTGCCGTGGTTATTTGCATTTGACACGCACGCACGTGGAGCACACGTACGCGGGCGACCACAGCCAAGTAGATCATACACGGAAGACGAAAAGCGGACCCTGAAAATCCCTGTTGTAGCGAAGATCACCACGGGTCCTACGTTAATAGAAAGTTCTGTTTACCGTCTACTCCCATCGAAATTCCTCGGTGATATCGATCAAGAATTTACCAGAATACCACTTGCCATTACCTATAAATCCATCGCGTAGACGCCCACGGGTCTGTCAATAACCAACACACCCGTGAAGCATTAGCCACTTGCTGGATGAAACGGTCTTCTATTTGGAATGATAGTATTACGATGTTAGATTACTACCGATCAACACATACTTACTTACACTTAATCATTAATTGTTTGTAACGAAACAGGATATAACGACGTAAACGTTTTTCGGTTATAAAGGTTAACCTACTGTCATTGATAGTTAGTTATACACATACCTATGGTCTGATAAAAATGACCTAGCTGGTTAGAGTCACTAAAAAGATGTCCCTAGAAACTAGATAACACTTCTAACGACCTATCTCTCATTTCAGCGCGTAAATATTCAAGCATACCCTATTCACTTTCCAACCACAGAAATATTGCTCGAAATGTCAACTCTATAATCGGACAAGTGATTTCAACCGATCAAACAGATACACCACAGTAGTATCTTAACCACCATTACCGTAAATTTTAATACACGCGTGTCCCCAATATTCAAGTACTAACGCAGTCCGGCGATTAGTCAGATACCTGTTGAAATGATTGAATCAGCGCTGTCCACGGTAATCTCCGGGCGCTTACCAGGCGTACCCGCGTACCGGCCTCCAATTGCTACATACATAAACCTTGGCTGACACCTCATTACGTGCACGCGCCTGCACACGAATGCGAAATCCTATTGATAGAGGGTCCGGGGGGAGGGACGGGGGGTTGGCAAAGTGAGGCGCCTCCAAGGAGAACGCCACCTGTGGACAGCGCTCCTTCGAATCACGGAGAGAGGGGGAAGTAGGAGGGTCCTCGCCCACGACTCATGACATTCCCTTGAATTTTGAAGGTCGAGTGCAAGAAAGCACAGCCGAAGGAAGTGATGCTCCCGGCTAACCTGGCGAAGACGCGAGCAGCCAACAGAGGCGCATACGGTGAGTTGGTGATGGTCGCGACACCCACCCCCACCACCTATCGTTACGCGCCGTATCCCCTCCCGACGGCCGCCGCCGCAGCCGCACACGCGGCCGCAGCGGCATCCGCCGGTACTCCCCACCACCACTTGCTCGCTCCGATAGTCGCTACCGCCGCGCCAAACGCGGCCGCTACCTACCAGTACGCAACAGGGGCGACCGCGCCCGCGGCTGCTGCCGCTGCCACCACCGCCGCCGCCGTCTACGACGTCAAGAGGGCACTAGCTGCTGCGGCTGCGGCCGCGGCTGCGGCCTCCTACAGGCCTCATCCGGTCGCAGCTGCGGCCGCCTCACGTGCCGCCACTCTCACTTACTCGATGAGCGACCTGCTGGGCGTACAGGGTCTCGACATGGGCGCCGTTTACCATCCGATACCCACGATCGGGCTATGACCAACAATACTGACGCCCCTCTCGAGGCCTCAGTAGCCCGTCAATGGGAGGAGGGGGGCTGAGGTTTCACGTTCGCGTCCCTTAAATTCGGCTGCCTTTACACATAATGTTTGTTTCTTCGTTGCTCCGGTAAACTGACCGGTTTAGTACCGGTGGACGATTACGCGCCGGCGTGTTGACACGTAGATAGAAACTTTTATTTTTGAAATTGCTCGCGTGAGATACCTGTGTCGTCTTATTGGTCAATCAGACGTGCCAAGATAACGGTACAAATTCGATAGCTTAGATGTAGTATTCGTAGTTTGTTGGAGGGGAGGATTTTATGGTGTCGGGTGTGCGTTGGACGAATCAGTGCAAATTGGAAAGGCTCGTATTCTGGTCCAATTCCTGCGGATTTGTATGGCGTATTGGTGTCCCGTTTGATGGTTGTAACAGTATTAAGGGATCCTCGAGGTATTATTTTTTATCTAATTGTAGAGTTTCTTTCGAATGGGACGCCGCGTGCCTTTCTACGGTATATCACACATTCCTGGTGTAGAACCTGTTGTCGCCTTCGTATCCCAGAAAGTATTTAGATTGCGACTAGGTTGCCATTGATTGCTGAAATCCCGTGTGTTGTAGAAGCAACATCGAAGACATATCGGAAAGTGCAATGAACGTAGATTAGTGACAAAGTCATTCCTTTTTTATTCCCTGAATTCGAGTCTGGGAATGAAGAAATTCTCGCGAGACTGCTCGAGAAGCTCAGTTCAGTAAAACTGTGATCGTAGTTTTGTGAAGATGAAATGATATAAAAAAAGATAACAGGTAGTGGATCATAGGTTCTGTTTTCAGACGGAATTAGTCACCTATGGGGCCTCGTTTCTCCTCGTAGCCAAAGAGTTAGGTATTTATTAGCAACGAAACTAAACGCATCGGAAAAAAAAGACTGGTAGTGTTCTCGTAGTTGATTAGCAGGACAAATGGTAGGACAATAAAAGAAAACAAAGTGTTCAAATTTAGAAAGACGCAAAACGAGTTCGTTTCGCTGGACAACGTTGAGCAGCAGATTGTTAAGTACATCGAGCATTCCTTTTCTCCGCGGGATTAGTTTCATTTGTTTCGACAAGCGAAATTACCAAAGATATAATTCTGAATATATTTTATCAACGAAAATTTATCCCCCCTAAGATGTTCCGATTCAGAGTTCTCGACAATCTACGAGTTTTCAGGCATCACTTTACCAAAGAATACGCTTCGAATGGAACTAGTAGGAATTCCGACGGAGAGAAGGGAATAAGATACCAAATAAAAAAGGAGGATAGCGAAGTTTAGATATCTCTGAGACATCTGAAGAAGATGCAAATTCCTGCCTCGAACGACTCGCGTTCGCGACAACACGTCAATTTACAAGTAGATCCTAGACAAGGTCGTAGTGACTCGAACGAAGCTTTAAGGTAGAACTCGCTGTCGAAGGAGTCGCGGTTGTTGAATTCGAACGATGATCGCGTGGGAATCGACGATCGTGCTGGCAAACACTATCGAGGAATCTCTCTGAGAATTCTATTCCTTCGTGAATGCACAAACGTTGCTCGGTCAATTTCGTAAACGATAGAGCGGTGTGCATCGTTCAGATCGTGGTGTTCGCGCGTGGATATCATCGTACGGAAACGACAATGATGAAAGACAAACGGATGAAAGAAAGGATACGTATACATTCCCAGGTAGCGGCACGCCGTGTATCATTCCCCGATCGAGGTGAATTTCTGATTTTTTGTTGCGGGGCGATGATTTGTCGCCAGGCATAAATAACGGACGTGCGAATCGTGAGAATGGCGGGGGCGGCTATAGCGCGTCGAGAGCGAGCGGAAAATGGTCGGCGATAAGCATTTCTCATTCGTCGCGCCTTTCAAAGTATTTTTCGCAATGAACTTCATGAAATTTCATAATGTCGAGAGAATGAAGATGAACCGGGTTACACCAAAAACGGTGTTACGCGGTGTCAAAAAAGAAATGAAAAAGAAAATAATCGATCGAGAAAGAAGAAGGACGCGAGGTCGGAGCTATCTATATGTATATAAATGCGAATCTATATACATATACATAGAGTAACGCGGTGAAATTTGCGTATATAGTTGTACGAATATACGTACGTAAACGCGAAGAAAGGGACAAGATAAGAAGTAAACGAGAGAAAAAAAAGAAACAAACGAAAAACGAGATATCGAGAAGCAATCGATTCTTAAATAACGGCAGACTATATATACATATTATATATTGTTTTGTACCTATGTATTTGGTAAACGTCACATAGTATTTGATATTGATATTGATATATTTTGTGAGAAGCGCATTAATACCTTCTAGTTTTTGTAATAGACCTACAGATATACATATCGAAGCATATCTATTATCTCTATCTTATACATATATCTAGGTAATTAGGTAAATATTTATGTTGTTACAGACCTTAGTTGACTTTAATGAGAATTCTTAGGTGATCTAGGTTCGACTTAGTTAGACCGAATAATTTTTGACAAATTACTCTACTATGTATACGTTCCTATCATTGAGATTACTAGTTAACTATAGCTTTTTGGGAAGTCACTATGATACCGTTAGTTTAGAATATACTTTAGGTCCTTCTTCGTGGAAGACCACGGTCATCTCCTTCGGACTTATGAAAACACGTTGTATCGTACATGAATGCGTATCGAACAGAACCTGCGTTTTTCTCGCAAAAAAAAAACAAGCAGCAAAAAAAAGAAAGAAAGAGAAACGTTACGCTTTCCACGAAGAATGCATACTATCAGCGGCTTCAAAGAGACCTATTACAATGTACCTATTACTTAACAAGCTACGTTACATAGTACGTTTATATTACGTTACACGTAATATTATACCTCACTATAGGGTATATACTAAATACATGTCGTGCGTATACCCGTCTACACCTATACCCTTATATACCACTCGGTAACCACCTACTCCCCCTACCCACCCTCCCCCCACCAAAAAGATACCTATTACTCGTTACATAGTATTTAACTCTTCTAAGCTATATAGCATCATTTACCTTAATAATAATGCGTGAGACGTGTGTCCTAGAAAGTACGTACTTTGCCCGAGAGGCTCAACAGTGTCAGTTTCGTAAGTAGACCAGATCTTAACATGCGGTTATTTTTTCTGTTCACCTTTGTAATGCTTTGTTGGGCCGGATTTTGGTTGTACGGGGAACGTAGCGTTGCGCATAGACAACAACGACAACGACAACTACGTGAAATAGATACCAAACAAGAAAAAAAAAAAAGAAAAGGAAAAGAACACCCAGTGTACTCTAATTTAAAAAAAAAACATGCGCACATCGCGTGAAATTGACGAGCGCCACGAATACGAGTTACGAAACGGATCCGAATAGAGAAAAAAAAGAATCATTCGTCCTAAACGGAATAAAGAATAAATAGCCAAAAAAAAAAGAAATGAAAACGAAAATAAAAAATGTTTGCGCTCCGCGATTGCGAATAGTTTTCACAGCACATTCTCTTTCTTTCTGTTGGAAAACATCCAGCGTGGAAGGATCAAAGAAATAGCCGTAAAATTCCGAAAGGGAAACTCAATGGGATTCCATGTTGCTAAAGCTATCGATGTGACGTAAATGTTAATCGAGCGGCAACTTGATCGTAAACTCTAGCGGAACGAGCTTTATACGCTCCTCGAAACTGTAAGAGACTATTAATGTTAATGTCGTACGTAAACGTCTGCTTTACGTGAAATCGATTTGTTGCATCTGAGAAAGTACACGTACATTATCATTATTATTATTATGATTATAATAAACATTATTAGTATTATTATTATTATATTACATACGTCAAGTATTAACACAAAATACATACATACGCGTTGCAATATGCACATTACAAATATTTATATAAATAAATAAATATATATATATATATACACACACACACACGTGGATATTATATATATATACATATATACATACACATTATCCGAATCTATTTACGTATTATATAAAAATCGATCTATACGACGAGTAAAATCAATGATATTCAAATAAACACGAGATTATAATTCGAATTATACATGCGAAGTTTTCATTGTCGTTCGGACGGATTTACAAATGAGAGTAACGAGAGAAACAGTCGTGAAAAAGAAAAACGAAACGAAAAGAAAATCGAAAACGGTGTCACGTGAGAAAAAAAAGAAATGATAGAGTTGTTGCGTGCTTGACGTAATCAAAACCAGCCCGGTAGAAAGACATTAGGTACGAAATCACTAATACTATTAATATGTATCAGTGTATCTTAATGGCCTAGAATAAATGCTCTTATACTTTTTCCATCTGCGTATATTGTGAGAGCAGCGTCGATATGAATACTAGAATAGTGAAACAGTAGTGTAGTATTGTGGTCGGTGTTTTTTTTTTTTCAATATTGTATCGTCGATCTAAATGTGGTAGTGGTGTTGGTAATGTGTCGAGTGCCTTAACGAGAGAAGCGTCATTAAAGAACCATATCTCTTTCATAAGAATCATATGTGCACAGAAACAATGTGATCTGTCGTTTAAACGAAATATTGTAGAATTTTTGCAAAAATCGATTCTTCCTCGTGATCGCGCGACACATTACCGACCCTTAGTCGATATCTAATAAGCTACATAGTCAGCCTAGCAAATATTACTTAACGGTAAATGATTAACCAATACCTTGAAGGCTACAATAACCATAGAACATAGGAGGGTTTATTTTGTCGTAGATTGGAAACACCTCGGCCGCGCGTAGTTACTAGTACCTTGTCACAGAATTTAGTCGATGCGCTATATAGTCGATGCGATATACATCTATAAATAGTCAGAATATCTTAGTTGTGTGGTCTTTTCAATTAGTATCAAATTATGAAATTTCATGGATGCCTTTCTTTCTCTCTCTCTCTCTATTTTTCTTTCTCTAATTTTCTAATTCTCCACACTATCTCTGTTTCTGTCTCACTCTGTCTACTTTCTGCCTTTCTCTTTCTTTCTATTAATTTTCATTTCTCTCTCTTTCTGTCTATCTAACCTAGAAAGCTTCTACTTCGTTTTCTTTTTTGGTTAATCTGTTTAAAGTCTCTTACTTTTTACCATTCTTTCATTGTTTGAACCTAGTCATCCGTTACACTCGAACCGTCTACTTCGACGAATTTCTGCAACGCTTTGCTTCATATTTAACTTGTCTCCATGTACATATATTAATTGTCTACGCATACCTTGGCCTGCACAAAGAAAAATATTGAGAATCTTCTAACGCGTGGCATAAAGTATAATGATCGCATTTAAACGGGAACAAAATATTGCTTTAGAATTCTTCCGTTGCCATTGAACTGTTTATTATTTACCCGTCATCGGTTTGATCGTCCAATACTTTTCTTCGTGCTTAGTTGCAGAAATTTCTATTGAGTCTCAAAAATCATTGCACTAACCAATATTTAAAAAAAAAAAGAGTAAATGGAGGGAAAAGAATGATTAAAGAGAAAAAAAAATCACAAATCTTTAATGTTTTGATCGATCCGAGCCCGGTATTAATGTGATCTGTTTTTCCTTATAGATTTTATGTGGTCCCTGGGAGCATTACCTGATGGTGAGTATGAAATATTCACGAACACGTACAACCGAACGACTTCGATGTTCAGTGACATATCCGTTTTGTAACAACGTCCAATCACGTTTGACGTAAGACAATCGTTGTAATATTCACGGGCCGATCAATCACAGACGAACCAGTACTTCTATAAAATTTGTTACAAGCACGTTTAGCTCGAGTCGGACGGATACATGCATGATTTACGTGCCTGTATGTACACGTAAGCGATCATTTTATTCGAGAAACCAATGAACTTTTTCCTCTGTTCTGATTTATTCATTCATTAGCGCAATTAATTGATATGGAACTTGTAATAAGCTCTTTAGACATCACGCAAAGGGAATACGTCAGTTGCATCAAGAATATCAATCAACTTGGAATTTAATTAAAATAATGAGAGGGAACACGCGCAGATAAAGTATACAAATAATTTGCTCAATAATTTTATTGTATATTGGATTGAAAGTATTTCACAGAATAACGTGATACTTGGAAAATAATTCGCACTACACATTTACGATTTCTCAATATTTATTTTAATATGATACAGTATTAAACTTGATGGTCGTTTCTTACAAAAATAGTAAAATAATGAGACTTGTTGGAAAAATGTCACTTTAGTCATTGATATCAATATTACATGGAACTGTAGATAATATGCATGAACGTATTAACAGATTTTTTCTCCACAGCTTAAAATCTTACCCAAAGAAAGTGTAAGAATTCCAGTGCAAGATGTTTCATAATTCTAGTTACTGAAAAGCAATTCCTCTCGGCGGAATTAGTCGAATGTGTGCAATATATGTTAGTGATTCATTCATTCTACCCGAAAACAACTTAAACATTCCTCCCATGAAATATTTCACCTATACAAGAAACCACAAGAATGTTAAAAAATAAAGTAGAATTCTGAAGTGCTTTACTACTAAATCATTACAACATACTTCTGAATAATATCTAGACCCCAAAGCCAGTGTGTATTAAGTCTATTTTTTTGGTAAAATAAGGTTTTTCATGTCTCCCGTATAAAATGTTTCACTCTTCACGATGGTAAAAATCATTTCGTTCTAAATCCTTCAATAATTAATACAATAATATAAAAATGATAATTAAGCTTATATCTTGTTCCGAGTGAAACAGTGTAAAGTCCATCACATAGAGGACTTAATTCACCATTTCTACATATCGAGACTTCTCTTAAATCTATTCAATAGTTCGAAGGTAGCGATTGTTCTCCTCGAATTCTTACAAAACTATTCCAAAGTTACAAGGTACATTCACCTTTGGTTTGCTCTCCTCTAAAATGTAAAAACTGTGATTTAATACACTTTGGCTCTGGGGTCCAGGCATACAATATTTCCTTTCTCAGTACCAAAAATTACGAAACACCGTGTACACCAGTAGAGGCTATCTCAATTCCCTAGTGACATACCGACAGTACGACTAAACACGCCCGGTAACTCACGAAGTCTACGCGAACTTTCGCGGAGATTTTCACGTAACCGGAGCACGGAAAGTTCTCCCGATGGGGCGAACGTAAGAGGAAAACTTAACAGCTTGTTTTAATCTGTTCGCAGGTTTCCCAGCGGCGGCGTACGCGGCATACGCGGCAGGCCGTGGCTATTCTGGGTACCCTAGTTTCGGACTGCCCTACCCGACAGGTAACCACCTTAGCCTTAACCACCTTAACCACCATAACGCGGCCCACATCGCGCCCCTGAACCTGAACTTGAACCTCATACAGGCGCAGCCTGCACCCCATCATCATAATCCCCCTACACCGACACCGCTCTTTTACCATCCCAATTTGGACCTCTACAACGCCATGCCTCTGTGAACTAACTTGTTATAATTAATATTATACATATATATATATATATATTTATATATAACCAAATAACTCGACTCGAGCAGCTATGCGCACACTCTAACCCATCGCTACACCACTAACTTGCGCTCTTGCTGTTGTCGCCTGACGTTACGTGTCGTCAATTGATCCCAAAATCGAACGTTGTGTACGCGTGGGTTGGCCGGGCAAGCTAGTCAGAGCTAATATCGAGCGAAGCCACAGGTCTGGTTCGATGGGAGGGGAAACAAGAAATCTAGATCTTGTCGCGTATGTATAGATATCGCGAAGTCTATTTTGTTCTGAGAATCGAGGGTGGGTGGGTGAACTGCAAATTGAAACCACCCCGAGAACGAAATAACTCCATCGTCTAATGCAACGAAGAAATTTCTTAAGGTAACATTTCATTCGCGAATACGCGTTTGGTGAACCTACGTGTTCCGTGGTACTTCGTGACCACCCTATATGTCGCGACTGAATCACACCACCTTCAGCGTGAATCGAACAATATTGAGACCGTGTCTAACGTATTGATTCGCTCGTATCTAGCGAAACCTACTTTCTGATCATGAGAGTGAGCTATATATACAGGGTGTAACAAAAATATTGGAGGACCCGGAAATGGGAGAATCGTGAGGTGATTCGAAACAAGTTTTTCCTTAGCAAAAATGTTATCCGGGACTTTGTTAACGAGATATTACCAATCAGTGCGTAGCCAACGTTACCGCGGGAACTTGGCTAGCAAACTCGCGCTCTGATTGGTCGTGATTTTTCGTTAATATCTCGTTAACAAAGCCTCGGATAACATTTTTGCTAAGGAAAAACTTGTTTCGAATCACCTCGCGAGTCCATTTCCGAGTCCTCTAACATTTTTGTTACACCCTGTATATACATATATATACATATATACTATTGGAAATCTGTTCTCGCCAACTGAGTTCTTCCGATATTAGGATACTACTCGGGAATAAGTCATTCGTCGCAGAACCATCGGTTCGTCGTGAAACGGATCTGTGTGTCTTCTGTGTTTCGTGGTCCCCCTGGCGTGGGGACGCTGTATATTATTGGGTCGAAGCTCGTTCGATTATCGACTGATCGACAGCTACTACGGGGGAAGTTTCAATTGTCGTTGCAATCGACGTCGAAGTATGGTCGACACGAGGGGGGGAGAACATTGTACAAAGTCGGTAATAAATTATCCTATCGATATAATCTTGTCGGTTTAAGATTTAAGATAGACGTAAGGAGGTTCCGCGAGGACTTATCCAACTTTCTACCCCGTTCCGTATCTGATCCGGGCGTTCGAGGAACGATCGATCGTAACTCGCGTGAAGCACCGCGTGTCTGTGTGTGTATTGTGCATCGAGCGTTCACCGAATTTACGCACAAATTACTTACCGTTTCGATTGGACTCGTTGTTTATTGATACCGATAGAATCGTGAATGCATGATATTTATATGCACTCTTTTTTCCTGCAATAACAAAGGATCGATTAATAGCCGGTCTCGCGAGTTGAATATTTCTGTAGAATCGAACATCGCTCATGGATACGTAAAGCCTTGTGTTTGGTAAAGTGCAATAATAAAATATCGTTCGTATAAGTTTTCTGGACAGATATATTAACGAAATGGAGCATCCAAACAAAATTATAATATTGCATTCCCTTTATATTGCGTGGATTTAATATCTCGCCACCCGTAAAATGTTCTCTTGTGCAAAGCATTCAGGATTGCGATACACGAACATTGGATGGGATGAAAAGTTACTGAATAACTTGATTGTGTTTTTTTATTGGAATGTAACGAATGTTGGAAAACATCCTAACGGTATTCGATTAATATACACCCAGCACTTGGCCCATTTTTCTGAAATTTCACGAGGCAGCCACGTAAAATACGCGCAGGTTTCCGCTGCAAGAACGTTTGAAAAACTCAATTTACCCGAAGTAGGACAAGATAATGAGGGGTTGATGTATGGGAAAAGTTACATCGTTAAACCGAACCGGAGATTCTTTCCTCCGCGCTCAATACCGGATTGCGTGCCTTCAACTATCAATAACAAACATCCCCCGCTGTTGCGGAATTTTCTTTCGAAACACCAAGGCTTTGCGATGGCGAAATGTTATGAAACATGTTCCCGTCTGATCGATTACTCGATACCAATTACTTTTTTTTTCCTCCAAATTGAAGCGTACATGAAATTCGATCGATTAAAATAACCAAAATGAAATACACGTATTTCCGTGCCGCCAGAACGAACGAAGAAAAATCTCACGGAAATAATTTAAAAAAAAAGAAGATAACGCCTCGATGCCAAAAAGATTGCCAATGGATTTAGGAGAAAATATATGTCGACTGCCTTACGATACCGCGAGGGTTTATATTGTTAAGAGGATCGCCGATTACCATATGCGGATTGAAACCGCCACGGAATTTTCCGTGGACATTATATTTAAATCGGTAGTCCATTAAATCGATCGTAATTTAGGATTAATTGCGCGGTCGCGGAACGGGGTAAAATGTCATTGTTAATATCAGGTAGGGGGGTAACGAGAGCGTATCGATTGCGAACGATATGCGATGGAACCGCGGCGCGGTTGGCCCTGCACGCATAGAGATACAGACACGTGTACACACACATACACACACATATACGCTAGAGCAATTAATAGGAAACATTTCGAAAATGAACGCATCCATGGCTCGGTATCGGCTGATCTAAATCGAACCGGTTGATTGGAGGTAGTTGCGGGCAAACTTTTCGGGGTCAAGCACCCTTCATGTTCGATTGGAACTCGAAATGAAAATCCCGCGGTCCATTATGGCCGAAGAAGACCAAAATAGAGTTTCGTATAGGATGTCTCTGGCCGCGCGTATCGGACGGGAATCCAACGGATGGGATTTATACGCTTATTGTTCGCTTCAATTGGCCCGCAAGATGGGATCATAAAGACTTTCGTTCACCCACTGACGGACAGTAGTATAGAACGCCGACTTAGGAGTTCAGACGCTTAATTTGGGTGTAGAAATAGGAATTTTAAAACTAAACTTAGTAAGCGTGTACTTAATTCTCATATTTGTTTAAAAAAATACAAAATTAATGAGTACTGTTTTTTAATAACAATCTTTTAAAACCAAAATAAACCATTTTTTTCGACGGAGTTATAATTGTCAATAAAATTCTTTTATACCCTTTTCGAAAATTAATGGACTTTCTAGAGAAACTTAAACTCCGAACGGTCGTCAGTGGGTTAATTTGAAAAATCGCCAATATCACCATCGCTACACTCAACTCGACGTTCATCTATTTCTTTCATGTACTTTCATTTATTCGTTATTATTTCCTGTGCATAGGTATTATTGATCTACTTTAATTAACGTTAATTAAATTTAATAATTCTCCCAATTAAATAAAACTCCTATTTTCGTTTTATGATAAGAAATCGAACTGAATGAATCGGCGTTGCGTCGAAACGAATGTTTCGAGACCAGGCTCGCGTGAATCCACGGAGAAACGTATAGATACAGTACACTGACCGCCGTCTCATGTGGTGGGCTTTCGCAATACGGCAAACGCTAGTTTCAACGAAGCTTCTTTCGATCCCGTAACTTCGCCTTTGCCCTCTGTCTGCCGCTCAGCCATTGCTCTTACACGTCTTACTAGCCCATTTGTTCCCTTCTCTTTCGTCCATTTCTGGCCATTTGTCTGCCTCGCTCGTCTCTCTTCCGCGAACTCTGTCTCTCTCACTCACTCACTCACTTGTCTGTTCCCCTTTGTGTTCTCCGTGCGAGCACCTCGAGAAGAAATTTCGAGGGGGAAAAAAGTTTGAACGTCTTTGCCATCCCGCACTTTTGCGTCACCCTTAAACTAGTGGATGCTTCCCCCCCCCCTTCACCTCTGTGTTAAGCATGAGCACGAAGATAGCGAGAAAGCGTTAACACATAACGCCTAATAGTAGCGGACAAACTGCGACAGGTGTCCCGTGCACGTCTACGTGAACGTTAAATTAGACGACGAAAGGAAAGAAAGACAAAACGATGGTCGCCCGGTACGATCTCTCGACCGTGAACGTCGTTTGTCGTCGTGAATCGTACACTCCGTGTACGATCGCGCAACCGGACAGATCGTGCGCGAACGATCCGATTGAATCCCCTCTGTTTCGCCACGGGGTTTACGGTTTTTCTCTTGGTTCTCTCCTGTAGCAGTGCATCGATCCTTTAGAACAATTCGCGTGAACGGGCGGAAAGAGAACTCATAAATAATGCATAATGTTTTTCGGACGTTGGCCCCATCCCTTGGAACGAACAAACCTCGTTGTCCTCCTTTCCCGTCCTCCCTCAATCGTGTTCCCTCTTCCCGAAAACGAACCGTTTCCAACGTTTCACTTTCCTCCAGAGACCTCGTGTCGATGCTTCCCTCGAAATCGCTTCCAATTTCCCTCGTCGCCCGCTATTTAACGCATTTGAATAACTTTTGTCCGCCCAAGGGGAAAGTGAGAGAGGAGTGGTACACACGCCTCCTCATCTCCCTGTGTCCTCTTACCCTCTCTTCCTTCTCTCCCTTTTTTCGACATTTTTCTCGATTCTTGCGTATGGTTCACGAGGCATGGCGGTAGATGGAAAGAAAAAGAGGATATCCAGCCACCGATGATTGATCACCGTAAACGAAACTCTCCCCCCAACCCCCCTCCCCGAAACCCCGCCTTAAAGCGGGTTTCCGTACATTCCCAATGTCCGAAAAACATTCGTTGGTTAAGCCACCCTCCGTCGCGAATACGAAAAGAGGGTCTGGCTACGGCGGGCGACCGTGCGCGA